GACAACCAATTCTGGGCTGAGCACATGAGCTATGCACAGCAAATGAAAAAAAAGCTAAGGCTTTTAGGAAAGAAAAAAAGGAAACCACTGAGCTAATAGACATGGTCACATCACACTGCATTTCGTGTAGTGTCTTAAAAGCCTATATATAAAGACCTATATAAAAACCTATATATAAAGACCCTTAGAATTCAGTGTGAGGTCTAAGTAACTTCAAACATGTTATCAAAAATCGGCATTTTCCATGGAAGCTCCCAGTTTGACAGAGGAGATGCTGATGTCCAAAAAAGTAGAAAAAAAGAAGAGGTCCTAATGAGCTGTTTCCCCCTATGAGAAAAGAGTTTCCGGTTTTTTTTACATCCAAACCTATGCTTGAGCCATTGCTGAGTTAGTATTGACTGTTATGTTTATCGGTATTTCTACTGATTAGAAATGCTTTTGCTCCTTCTAAGTATTCTAACTCTGTTTAAGAATCTGGAAGACATCTTTGACACAAAAAATGAAATATAAAAACAAGGCCAGTTTAATGCAACTTCACGTGCTTTACTAAAGCAGCCTGCCATGATGAACAGATTCTCAGGTTTTAGCTGTTCTAATACAAGATGAAGACAAGCAGTGTTGTCCAAACATCAAATCAGGTCTTTGTATCACCCATCAGTGACCTGAGCTAAGCTTCCTTTAGATTGGAATTTCCTTTGTTACTAATACATATGAGTCTGGCGGTTGTGATAGATGAAATTCTCTGTTCCAGTACGTCAGTTGCAAATAACACTTCAGGTAGACATTGGACAAGAACATACATGAATAATAGATGAATGCAGAAATGTCACCAAGCTATGAAAAGATACTGGAAAAAAACCCACAGCACTGAACTCAAGAATTCATCTTGATTAGACACATTTCAATAATCTGGAGCTCTCAGATATTTGAGTTTTCTCTCTGGGGGAAAAAAAAAAAAGTAAATAACCAGAATCATTTAGATAAGGATTATTAGAATGAAAGTTGTGCAGACTCTAACTCCTTCAAATACTGGGGGAGAAACAAGAGAATATTTTGATATTTCAGTTGCTAGCAGACTATAAACCTAAGGCTCTGATCCTGAAAAAATCATGCAGCTTTACACTAATAGGTATTCCTTTTGGATCTCAATACATTGTTGACGTGTGTAAGACTTCACAGAAAACAGCAGCTAAAAGACAGCAACATATAATCTTTGCTTGCTCAGCTACTAAACAGTTATTTACTCTTCTCTCTAAGAACAAATTGTGCCAAAGCAACAGCAAAGAAAATCAAAACAGGCAAACCTTTGAAGGAAGATATAGTTATACAAAGCTTTACATAATTTTGGCACACTATTTAACCATTGTGTGTATGTATTCCTGAGTTATCAATCCTAATTGAATCACGAGCTAATACATTGTACACTTTTCCACCAAAAAGTCTGAATGCTTCACAACCAGTGTTGCATGCATACTATCAGCACATCTGTGCAGAAAGGAAGCATTATCTGCATCTTTCTAGGCAGGTGGCTGACACAGCGTTGATAGGGCTGGAATTTGTCTCCTTTTTTAGCTTACTGTTTCAGTATGAGCTGCCTAAGGCTTGAAAGTCTACTGGCTCTCTGTAGAGTAAATAGAAAGAGACAGATAAGTTCAGCAGGCAGTTCATCCTACTTCTGAGATACCTCTCTTGAGATTGCTTGGTTGACTCTTTCTAACAAGGCTTAGCTTAAACTAGACCCCCAGCTGTAGAGGGTTAATGGTGGGGGAGATTACCCTGTCCTAAGCAACTTTACCAAGATTGCAGTAGGAAAACTCTACACAACCCAGTGGAAAACTGAAGGTCTCTGGTTAAAGTCTCAGCCCATGCGATACCATAAACAGCAAAAGTCTCAGTGGATGTAGGTGACTGGAACTACATTTCCATTCATTCCAGTAATAATTTGCCAGTTCACATCTGCTGATGCATTAACCACTGATTGGTCTATTTTCAATTAAATTGCCTGTCTCAAAATTCATATCCTAGTTTCTTATTCTGCAGTAACCAAAAGAGCAAATTCCCTATTTGTCTTTGCTGTAGGAACCACTGGAGTCATTTGCTGCCTGGTCTAGAACAGGATAGAACAGGATATGTACCTGTGGGAATATGAAAATTTAATTTAATGGAGTCATTACCATTTCAAGAATCCAGGGCAATGGCAATACCTTCCATATGTCCTTTCTCTTCCAATGGCCTACTGTAGTTGTAGCATTTGGTCTTTTATTATGGTTTAAAGTTTGTGTCTTAAGTGGGATTTAGGATTGTTTTCTGCCTCATGGTGTATATCAGAGCCAGGAGCAGACTTCCCCAGAACAAACTACTGAATTGGTGCTTGTCGATGGGACTAAATTCAATGACTCGGGCAGCCCATGTTATTATGGTGTGGGAATCCTGACTTCCTAATGTCTTTAAATTGTGCTCAGAGAAAAAAAAAGAAAATACTACTGGATTTCAGAGCTTAGTAGAGTAGAAGAGAACTTGAAGTGGTTTTGAGTGACAAAAATAACTGAAGTTCCAGTAAGTAAAATAAGGATTACTGTCTGAGAGATAAGCTAACTGCCAGCTGGGAGATGTGGCACTAAAGGAGAAATTTCCAGAGTTCATGCCAAAATTATGCAATCCCAAAATGTACCATTACAGCCTCCTTGCACAAGGCTTCTCTTGGTTGTCTTTGAAGAGTGTGATATTAACTTCTAAGAGAAGAAATCAAAGGAAGCAATCATGCACTTAAAGCATACAGAAACCGTAAGTCATTGTAAGGACAACTGATCAAAACCGATAGCTTAGAAATTACAAATACCTAGACCGACGGAGGCACCCAGGAACAAAGCAGAGGACAAGGACATGCTCCTGTGATCAGGTGAGGCAGACGTAGCGTTACAGCTGCACGGGTGCACCCGGAGCACCGCACCAGCGACAGGAGCCCTGCAGGCCTGCCAGCTTTGACGTGAAATCACAACACCTTATCGCACATGCGTGTAAGGTAGAGCCTCTGGGGAGGCTTTGTCATGGGAGACACTAAGTGGCCATCTTCCAGTGTCCTGGGAATATGAGAGGTCACCCACGTTCCCGCGTGTTTTCAGTGAGGGTGGAAGCAATTTCTTAGCTAACATAGTTAAAATAATAGAAAAAACAAAGCAACTTAGTGTGAACCTTGATGAACCCTTTTTCATCTTAAGTTTGATCCCCAGCTCTGTAAGCTTTCCTGTGAGCTCAGAACTACAGCTTGCTGTGCTTTCATTAGCATTTCAGCCCAAGGAACTAAGTGGGATTAACTGACCCAATCTGCAAATTCAGCTATTTTCCAGTGAAGACTTACCTTTCCTGGCAGCTCCTGACACCTTGGCAGGATCTTTCAGTCACAGGTTTCACAGTGATTATTTCAGGTCAATGTCTCTTGTTATTAACAAAAGCTGGCTGCTCATTTTACTTGTTTGTAGAAATAATCCACTACGTTTCCGTAATAAGACCAGAAATGCCAGAGTGGATTTTTAATGTCTTTATTTAAAAAAAAAAGGAAAAAAAAATTTTTTTTCAAAACACACTTGAAAAGTTCGGAGCAAAGCAGATACCTGTCCAGGCACTCTTCAGTAAGGTTAGTGACAGTATAGGATTTAGAATGCATCAATTCTTCCCCACCTTGAATTATGCTGAATTTAAACTGTTAAAATTAACCTGGGAACTTCTGTCTGAATGACTCACCTGTTTGTGGACACTCCTTAGGGAATGGAGTCAAACACTGGGGGTTGATGCTCTTGATGATGTACGTGATGATAAGCCTTCCTCCCTGTAGCAAGGTTTGCTCTGGGACCTGATGGTGCCTGACCTACTGGAACTCCCTTGATCTCCCCCCAGCTCTGGTATTCCAGCTGTGGCTTTTTGCAGCTTAGTTTGAGTTTATCTTCCTGCCCTCTGATGGCAGTGCTACATTCCCGCTCTCCAAAAGTCTCAGTGGATTCTCAGGCAGGAAAAGGTTCCCAAATGAGTGAGAGAAATGTGGAGGAACATCAGTCAATTGAGACACAGCATATCTCTGTTCAGGAGGCTCATTGCCTATGGTTGTGGGACGAAGTTCTCTCTTTTTTGCTTTTTCCCTAGTATTTGGCCATCCTGCAAGGTTGTTTCCTGGGCGTCAACAATTTGTAGTGAGCATGGCTGTCCCTCTTATCAGTTCTCCCAGACCAAGGAACAAAGTTCTGAATGAGCAGCCACTGACATTTCAGAAAGCAATTCCTTATCGTCATGGGTGTGAGATGACTTGGGTACTGTAGGTCACAGCCTCTTCTGTCATTAGGCAGCAGCTTAAGCAATGACTCTGTTGCCTCGCAGGGCAAAGATTTCCTTGGTTAGGTGAAGGTTCTACTAAAGTGTTTCAAAACGGTGCGTGAGATATGTTTAATTTGTGGCATACATTTTTTTACTGCATTTATTAATATTCTTTGAACTTTATTTTTAGAAAGACAAATTAGGGGAAGACATATCCTGAACATATGTACCATTAGACAAACATCATAGAGATTAATTCTCTTAGTCTCAGTTATGCATATGATGTCTATTATAAAATATTTTAAAAGTTTTGTGACACAAATTGATTACAGTTAATTTAAGTCTCTCACCCATTAAGTCAAAAAATCCTATTAGCTCTTCATCTGTTTTTTTAGTGTATTTGTCCTTTCAGTGGAGAGGCACAAAAAAACCCCATTTACTCACTTACCAAAGGTCAACATGGCCAATTCTCCTTCAACTCCTGCTTTTTATCTAGATTTCCTCCTGAGAGACCTGAAGCACGGAAAGCCATCAGGTAACCCACCCAGGGTCAACCAGTTTATGGGCCAGAGCTGCAGCTGCTGCTGTGCCCTGGGATTCCCATGGAGCTCAACAGGAGCAGCCCCGAGTGCGGAGCAGCTGCAGATTCGGGCTGGGAGCCAGCGCTGGGACCCGAGTCCTGTGCTGTGAGCACAGCAGAATAGCCTGGCTGTGCTGAGGCAGCAGATTGCACAGGGAGCTGCACCCCATCAGAGCAGCAACGCTGTTTGAATACATCTGGGAACAAATTTTGCAGAAGTATTTGGCAAGATTTCCAGCTTATCTTTGAAAACCCTGGTTTTTAAGTTGCTGACTAAACACAAGACTGACACTTAGAAACCTTGTTAGACTGTCACAACCTGCAATCCTTTTAAGTCCAGATCGTGAAACACTGCGTGATTACACACACACGTACAAATACACTAATTTTACAAGGTCTGTTTCTGTAGTTTAGCAGAAGGGGGTAAAGGATTTCTATTCTGGTCCCTAGGGCTGTGACTTCCAAAGAAAACTCTTCGTTATTATGCTTTCAGTTCTAAAGCAGTCAACTCCCAGGTATACACTGTTTTTTTCAGCCAGCAAGTTTCTGTAAATTAACCATGCCATCAAATTCTTCTCTAAATTTTTGCATTTTGTGGCAGTCTTGCATCTGCATTGACTTTAATCTGCGTTACCCTTGCTTTTCAAAGCAAGCAAGGCACAAACCTGTGCTGAAAGGAAGACCATAAAAACCATATCAGGATCCAGCATGCAGCAGGTTTTTGTCAACTTGTCCTCTTTTCCTCAGGCCATCATCTCCTCCTCCTTAACAAGCCTTTGGACATGAATTCAATGTCATCAGAACTTTGTGTTTGGGAGGCTGACAGACACAAGGAGTTGGCTTGTTATATGAACTGTTCAAAAGAGCAGACTAATCGGTGGCTAAGCAGACTTTGGAGCATGTAAAGTGCTAGAGGGTCCCTGCAGTTACACAGCTCCAGTGAACAGCCATTCATCTTTAAACAGAGTACATCTTTCCTCTTGGGAAAACTCCCAGTTCTCTTACACAATATCCCCAGGGAGGAAAAAAGACCACCTTGACATGGGAAGACAACTCACTAGTTAAAAGAAGATTAAGTAAAGCCATTAGGGAATTTCAGCGAAAGGGAAACACTAAGGCCTCCTTGAACATTTACAGTGGAAACCAGAATTTAAGAAAGTCATTTTTACTCAGTCTGAGAACTGTACTGAAAATACAGAATTAAGAAAAGCAAGTAGCTGAAAATTGGGAGAGCAATGTCTGCTGAACTGTGATTGTGGAAACACAAGATGACATATTCGACACTAAATGATATATTGCAATTAGACTGAGGGTACCCTGTTTCTACTGCCAGATCTCTGTGTGGAAACATAGTGAAATTCTGGTAACTTAATATCCCAACCAAATCCCCACACTGCAATAAAGTCAAAAATCAACGCTTTTACAATTCTTATTATTTCTTAATCTCCAGGAGTTCCCCAGGAGTTCTGGAAATTTCAGTGCACAGCTGTTTTAGAACTGTACTATCAGCAGGAACCCCAAGATAATGAGATTACTTTAAGCATAATCAGAATTATAGATAGATGGATAATGAGATTACTTCCAGGGCGATCAGAATTTTTTATGTGTGCACATGTAAGTGTGCGTGTACTCAAAAGGTGACAGTGTTGGGGCTTCCCGGCTCAGGAAGGCAAACTGGCACGTCACCTGCTCTTCGCTCCTGTGTCAAGTGTAAATAGTCCCGAGGCTGGTGCGTGGGTGCTGGGGCAGGAGATAAGCCCTGGGGAGAAAGAGGCAGGGCGAGTGGTTCCCGCAGCCCACGCTGCCCTTTTACCTGCTGAGCCAGGTAGTTTCCAAGAGAGACCGCGGGTCTTGTTTGCTTACCTTCAACCAGCCCCTGACTCCCAGTGGAGGGTTATCTCTGCGGCCACGGAGAAGGTCTCAGATCATCTCAGGTAGCGTTCAGACCCCTGGGGTCACACTTTAGGGGCACGTGGAGCGTAGGCGGGGTGTGTAGCCCAGGTGGGTATGCAAATAGCAGCCTTCAAAGCGAGTGCCATAGGCTGTGGAATGTGAACTGTGACAAAGCTGAGAAGGGTGATTAATGTCTGACGAGAGCTATTTAATCTGCGCACGCTGCTGTGTAACTTTTTTTCTCTTCCTCTTTCTGTTTTATTGCTTAAAAAAAGAAAAATGTTTTGCAAGGCCAGCGTGAAGCAGACAAAATCTGGAGCAAAGAAGGATTTTATGCGGTTGTCATATTTCTCAGCATCTTTGTCATTCTAGTAACTTGTTTAATGGTAAGTTTCCTTTTTACCTTGTTTTGCTCTTCTTTACTTCATGCTTTTCTCTGTCTGAAGGATAGAGTCACACATTCTTTACATGAGAAGTGTTTTCTCAAAGCTATTAAAAACTCAGCTACAAGGTAAGAGTTGGTCACTCTCATACTGCTGTGAAGCCAAAGTTTCGAGAACCCCATTTCTTGATATATTTTGAGTCCAATTGATGAATGTAACTAGAAGGAAGCTGAAGAAATAAATAATGGGCTCTTAAATCTGTGGAGTAACTGTGTAGTGACATGAGTGATGACTTCTTAACCTTCTTACTAAGGTCCCAGAATCCCTAAAGTTGTGTTAGCTGCCTGTATTTCAGTTTTATTGGACAGTAAAAACAACACCATATCGATACAATATTGTCAATGCACAGTTGTTAATGTGTGTCAGTATTGATGTTTCAAATATACAATTTTTAAACTGAAATTACTAGTAAGGACATGAAAGAGTGATCATATTTTTAATAATTTTGCCATTCATATTTTATGAGTTGTGACCAGGTTTAAATTAGAATTAGACATAATTCTAGTATGCTGAATATGACATGTTCAAGGGTCACATGGAAGGAGAACAACACTACACCACCATTGACTTTCATACAATAATTTTTGCATTTTTTTCCAATGTTGTATCTCACATGTTTTCCTTCTCTGAATTGTATATTTCTCCTGTGGTGCATAAATATAAAGGTTTACTGATTTCTATGACAATTCTCAGCATTTATGAACAGATAGTATCTTGGAGTTTTTTTAAGATATTTTGCTTTCGAATACCTCTAATTTTCTTTAACCTAGATGGATTTCCCACCTGCAGCCATAAGATGGAAAGACTGTCTAAGCTGAAGATATTAATAAATTATCAGATTTATAACAAAAACTTATTTAAGCTTTTGAAGTCTTCCCGAGATTTGAAAAGCACTTTTTTTCTCACAAAAATTGTTTTATATAACTTTTACTTCATAGTCATCTACATTTCTCCATGCCATATTATTCAAAAGTAGGAGGGTAACTCTAGAAGTAATAACTTTTACTCAAACTTTTTACTTTGAAAAAGCATGTATTTCAGTCATTACTGACTGTTTAACTGGAAGGGTACAGAAAATTATGTCTGTTCTTGTCCTGGTGCTACATGATATTTTAATTATTTGGAATGGGTAGATGGCATTGGAAATTGTAAACACTGTGGAGAACAGCATCAAAACTTGAAATATTCTTAAGGTGCTGGAGAAAAGATGGGAAGGAACAAGAATGCTGCTCAGAAGGGACAAGAACTCTAATCATGTGCATCAATACAACGTAGGAAATACATGGCAAAGCAATGGTTCTTCAAGAAAGGTTCCAGCAGTACTGCAGACCACACACTGAAGTAAATGAGTAACACCATGTTGTTGCAAAAATTACAGTTCTTGCCCTGGGATGTATAAATGAGGCTATGATCTCTAAGATCTGCATTTGTCTTGGCTCTGGTAATTATTTGGTTAGTATTGCATCTCACTCATGCTATGTGGTCTCATGCAGGTACCACACTTGTGAAAAATGTAAACGAGTTACAATAGGGAGGGGACACAAGAGTAATCTGAGACACAGAAGGCATGAAATAATTTGGTTTACTTATGAGAAAGAAAATAAGAGAAAAAAAGTAGAAATGTGATAGTTCTCATACATGGAAATTTTTTGAAGGCTGTGGTAAGGAAGAAGATAATATTTTCTCCACTGTGGATGGGAAAAGGAGCAGATTTTTTGAATGGGTGAATTGGCTGACTCATTAGATAGAACTTTGTTATCACAGAGGTCACTACACCCCGGAGTGCGAAGCTTGGGAGTTCTCACCCATTAAGGTTTTAGGCAAATGTCTGTCAGTAATTGTTTAGACATAGCTGATCTGGGGTTAGGGCAGAGGTAAAGACTAGTAGACCCCTTGAACTCCCTGGTCTTTTCTACAGGCATTCACCTTTCTGTCCCCTTCCAGGTCCAACCTCCATCTTTATGTGTGCTGCTGTTTCGACCGTGGAAATGGACACTGTCAAATTTTCCCTTGGCCTGATAATACATGGAGCATGTGCAATCTATTAGGGTAACAAGCAGCACACATTGTTTTTCATCCCACCTTACATGTGTCAGAGTGGCAGATTTATGAAAAGTAGGAACTCAGTATTTCAAATTCAGCCACTGCAGTCTATCAGACCATTCAGGTTTAGTGTAAGGTGTTGGAGCCAGTCCTAGGTGCCTTTGGCTGTAGCGACTTTATCAGACAACCAAAATGCCTCCTCTTTTGTAAAGTTACAGGGTATAAACCTGTTTGTCCATAAGTGGTTATTTGTAGTTTAGAGGGTCCAAAAGCGGAAAGCTCAGCCTGCATCTCTAGGTGACTTGGAAGTGTCCTTTAGAGTGTGAAGTAGGAAGTAGTTTAAGTGGTGATTGTGATGTTCAGCAGTGCTCAGTGTAAAGCAGCTGAATTGTCAGTGTCAGCGCTACGTTCTGTGTAATTTCTACAGAAATTGTAAAATATGCAGCTTTGTTTTTCAACTGGGTGTTGCAAATCATGATGCTTCCCTGGGCTGAGAGCACACTGTGCGTTAGCGGCTTTGAGGCTTCTTACTGCTTGGCTGGAATTTAACAAGTATTGAGAAAAAAAGTAGAAATGTGATAGTTCTCATACATGGAAAGTTTTTGAAGGCTGTGGTAAGGAAGAAGATAATATTTTCTCCACTGTGGATGGGAAAAGGAGCAGATTTTTTGAATGGGTGAATTGGCTGACTCATTAGATAGAACTTTGTTATCACAGAGGTCACTACACCCCGGAGTGCGTTGCTTGGGGAAGCTTGGGAGTTCTCACCCATTAAGGTTTTAGGCAAATGTCTGTCAGTAATTGTTTAGACATAGCTGATCTGGGGTTAGGGCAGAGGTAAAGACTAGTAGACCCCTTGAACTCCCTGGTCTTTTCTACAGGCATTCACCTTTCTGTCCCCTTCCAGGTCCAACCTCCATCTTTATGTGTGCTGCTGTTTCGACCGTGGAAATGGACACTGTCAAATTTTCCCTTGGCCTGATAATACATGGAGCATGTGCAATCTATTAGGGTAACAAGCAGCACACATTGTTTTTCATCCCACCTTACATGTGTCAGAGTGGCAGATTTATGAAAAGTAGGAACTCAGTATTTCAAATTCAGCCACTGCAGTCTATCAGACCATTCAGGTTTAGTGTAAGGTGTTGGAGCCAGTCCTAGGTGCCTTTGGCTGTAGCGACTTTATCAGACAACCAAAATGCCTCCTCTTTTGTAAAGTTACAGGGTATAAACCTGTTTGTCCATAAGTGGTTATTTGTAGTTTAGAGGGTCCAAAAGCGGAAAGCTCAGCCTGCATCTCTAGGTGACTTGGAAGTGTCCTTTAGAGTGTGAAGTAGGAAGTAGTTTAAGTGGTGATTGTGATGTTCAGCAGTGCTCAGTGTAAAGCAGCTGAATTGTCAGTGTCAGCGCTACGTTCTGTGTAATTTCTACAGAAATTGTAAAATATGCAGCTTTGTTTTTCAACTGGGTGTTGCAAATCATGATGCTTCCCTGGGCTGAGAGCACACTGTGCGTTAGCGGCTTTGAGGCTTCTTACTGCTTGGCTGGAATTTAACAAGTATTTGGCCTCTATACATAAAAATCTACAGTGTAGAGTATTGCTAAACAGTGAGATCAGCAGGACAGGAGCTAAATTCAGACTTGTAAATTATACCCCCGCAGTTGTTCTATATATTTACTCAGCAAGTCTTCATTGTCGTGGTATGAGACCCTCTTGGATCCCAGGAGGGATTCATCATATGTGGAAGGCAACACGCAGCTCATTGCTGTCCCCATCAGTGGGCCTACCCATGGGCCCACTTCCACTGGGAATATGGTACCTCAGTTATAAAGTATGCTAAGCAAAAAGTACTAAGTAAGAATAAGTATTTGTAGAGCTCCTATGTGTAAAACAGGTGTCTATATTTTTTATTTTACATAGAGAAAAAATTGAGCCATCACCAAATTTAATAACACAATATTTGACAGTAGGTTAAATTATTTGTTACTATATTTCTTACTAATTTTGCCCATTTTAATAAACCTGCATATTTGCATATATATATATTATTTTTTTTTTAATATATGTACCTCTAAGCATCTGTTGAGTAGTCTGGAAGTATCACCTTCACATTATGAAATATTTGTAGCTAGTTGTGGTCGGAGGGTTTTCTAAATGTTTTTCTTCTTCCCACTAAAAAAAAATAATCAAGAAATAAGATTTCTTTTTCATTTAAAATAAAGAAAGACATGAACTTTGTGCAACCTGACTTGTTAAAGATATCCATGTTTATGGCAGCAGGGTTGGACTAGGTGATCTTTAAACATCCTGTCTGACCCAAACTATTCTATGAATCTGTCATTCAATGAACTTTGCTTCATCAACAAATTGTGAAAATCTAAATTTTTACTACTGTCTCCATTGTTTTATGAATTACGAACAATTGTTTGATGTTTTGGGGAGATAGTTACTTAAACAATATTTTTTCATCTTCACGATTGTATTTTGGAATTTCTTTAACAAGAAGAATATCAAATAACAAAAAATGCATTTCATCATCCAGTTTTCATATGACCTACCACTTGTTATTAAACTTAAAAGTTTCAGCATGCATAAAATGGTGCAGGACTTCTGAAAGCACTTTGTTACAGAATATGTACAATGAACTAATATCAGCGCATCAAATTCAGCTTTTCCCAGTTTAAAGATTTATAGCAAAATTAACAGTACATATTTTAATCATATCACAAGAGTGTTTAAGCCTATTTGAAGTTAGAGGTTCTGTGTGTAAACTAGTTCTAGATTCTATTCTGATTTTGTAGAACTTTTTATAGTGCATTCAGATCATGGTATCCAAATGGCTCACAGTGATGCGTCAAACAACGTGACTAACACCTGTCCCATTTTTGTTCTTTTATCCCTTCCCTAGGGTTTGAGGGACATTTTGTTAGTCAGTTTTCTTTTCATGTGTACAGTCACACAGAAGCTCTGCTCATGCAGAGATATGCACACAGCCTCACGCACGTGTTGTTAAGTACTTGTTAGAAAGAACAGTCAGAATGAACTGTCTGAATTTTCATGAGTTCTGGAAGATTTTACTTCATAGTCCTGAGTGTCCTAAATATCTTCAGGACAGATGAGTTTTTGTACCAGTGCTCCACATAACCATTGCCAAGATCTTTGTTCTGGAGACACAGTTATCTCATTGGGATTTCCTGTAGATCTCTGGAGGTGAATAAAAGCAGTTTCCACTGGGATTTTGAATGGGTGGGTAGGTAGGAGGTACTGGCCAAGCTAGCACAAAACCTGTCAGCTTTCCTTTGCAGAAGTCTGAGCAGAGATATAAGGAGTGAATGTCATGCTGTCAGCACCCTGTCATTCTTCCATATAGGCTGAGTCAAAGAGGAGTCAGAAAGAAGAATTATTTTCCTTTTGGATGGTGGCTTTGAACCCTATGCTTAATATATGAAAAAAAAATACAGATGACCCACCCTGTGTCTCCTGGAAAATAGTACTTGGTGTTGTTCCATTGTTCCATACCTCTTTATTGAGGCATAATGAATCTCCTGAGGTATCAGTAAAATGTCAGTTTTCCTAATTTAGGGGCTTCAAATCTGTTCCCATCCATGATATGTTTAAACTGATTTGAAACATAACTAAGTTGTTCCCTTTTCAGAGCTTGCTGATTGGGTTGACCTCTGTCTTTTTGGCTATTTCTGTTTGCTTGACTTTCACCTGGAATTTGTTAAAAAATAGATGGGCCTAATCATACTTTCTAAGGAAAGCATGTTTGCTCTTAGATCAAATGTGGTTCTTTAGGGTTTTTTCCAACTTCTGCTGGTGACAGGCTACCTTTTTTCCTAGGCTCTAATAATAGAGTATTAAAAAGGATATGAAATAATATTAATCTATTTTTTTAACCCAAAACCATAATTTCATGGGTCTCCAAGGAACAAAACTGTGTCAAAATATATCAGTGACAAGAAGGTATGGTTAACGATGTCATGATTGTGAAAGTCTGAGCTGTATATCTGTGGGTTACCAGAAACAAATGAGACCAAAGCAATCACTGGAGGAAAAGAAGGTTAAAATATTCCAAGCCCCTGGTTTATCTTTACTGATAGCTCTGTCCTTGCTTCACAGCAGGGCAGTTTATTCTGAAAAATAATGTCAAAGAGTAGATTATCTTATCTATGCAATCTAATTCTAAACTCTTCTGCATGAACAGATGGTTTATGTAGCTAAGTCTTGTTTAATGGGTGTATTGCTAATGACATTAGGTCAGTTCCCAGCTAAACCTCTAATGCTAATCCTTGAAAAAACAAACCCATCAGATATATCCAGTCTTCACTGGAAAGCCATGCAGCGATAGATATTTATGTGGTGCTAGCAGGGCAACAGCTGTCAAAGAGCCTCTGACTTGCAGCGGAAAAATGCTTTGGTCTAGGTTTTTTCTTCATGGCTTTGCAAACCAGGATTCAATTCGAATATTTTATGGACACAGATAAGCAGGGCAGAAGGTATAAGAGTATCAGCAGACACCTTTAAAAAGCTGTGTGCGCCTTTCACCCACCTCCACGCACAACACTTATGATAGTAATTCTCTTAAGTTTCATAGGTTGTTAGGCACATTTTGAAAATGGCACAGCTACAGGTCAGAAATCATTTTTTGCATTTCCCTCAAGAGAGAGAAAATGTGTTAAACAGGTGTAACCTCTGGAGTGACGTTACCAAGTACACACGTACACATACCAAGTACCTGCCTGTCCTCACCAAGCCTGTGTACAGCAACATTAGTGTGGATTTCAGTGGAAGAGGAGCAGTACAACTTCTGAAATGCCTCTGCTGCAAACATCTGACATCCAAGTTCATAAGCAATACCAAGAATCCTGGTATTACAGTATGTTCAGATGTCAATGCATTGGTAATTGTAAAAACACACTTTTCTGAACAGATGCTTGAATAGCTTCATGGGCCACACATTGCTTCAGCTTTGTTCCAGAAGAGGTTATGTTTCCCTGAGGATATTGAGGGATATCCTTATCCTGAGGAGTATTTCAGAGTAACCGCAGCCTACCATTACAAAAGTGGCCTAGTAAAGTGACTCTGTTCAACCATCAGCTCCATGCAAAATGAGTAAGAGCTATTAAGAACATCTGCTCTAAAACAAATTGAGGCTGCTATAATTTGAGACATGTATCTGGACACATCATAAGCATCTATCACATTTTGTGCCATCGTCTCTCTCGTGTTAAAATTCTTACAAATTTTTCTACAATTATTCTATTTATCAGTACTTCCTTCTTCACAGTTAACTATTTTCCATTCTATGTTATTTGCCCCTTTAATAATACAACTGCTGGTATTACAAGTAATTACTGGCTAACAATGAGAACTGTTAAAATCTCTACCGCCCACGTGTACCCGCTGTGGTTTATGTAATGAAAATATTTATCCTGTTGTGGGAAACGCCATGTAACACAACTTGTGGCTTACCTTCTAGGAATGAAAGCCATGTGTAGCAATCTTATCCAGCATTTGTGAACTTTCCTTGCCTTTTTTACCAGGGAATTGAGATCGGGCTTTACTTTTTATTTCTGTAGGTTCTGTACAGATTAAAGGAGAAGATCCAGTTGTCACTGAGACAAGAGAAGGAAAAGAAGCAGGAGATCAACCTCTCCCCCCTTCCCCTGCCAACAGCTCAGTCCGAATATAAGACCACCAACAGCATGGTCCAGCCTGAACAGGCTCCAAAGGTTGTTAATGTTGTAGTGGACCCTCAAGGCCAATGTGTTCCTGAGATCAAACCTCCCCTGTGTGCCAGTCCGTCTCCTTTCAGAATGAAACCTGTGGGGCTCCAGGAAAGGTAGGATGGTGCTGGGCATGTTCAGGATTTAGTCTGCTTTGTTATACTCATCTGCATGATTTTGTATGTGTCTCTTCTGTCAATAAGTGGGAGACTTTGTCATATGGACATCTGAGAAGTGGGATTTTGGTGTGTTAATATCTGTCTTGTGGGTATTCTCTCCTTTCCTTTTCTTTTCATATGAGCAAAGGTCCAGAAGTTAGGGCTGAGATTAACTGCAGTACTGGAATTCTTTTTGGCAATTTGTTTTTTCCCTTTTCCAACAATCACTCCAAAGAAGTAATTTTTCATTTTCCATTCATTTTTTCCTATTTTGATCCTGGAGATCCTGGCAAGAGGGCACAAGGGCTGGTTATGTTTTGTCAGCAAAGGATGTTCTCATTGTCAGGAAGTCCCTAGCATGTGAGAAACTTAGAATGAAGGAATATTTACACGAACTGAGTGTATTTCCCAATCTCATACGGTGTTTCGATTATCATCTTTAGATAATTTTTCTTCTTAAATCCAGCTTTCCGTGATGGTTGGGATACAGTCCAAGGTCTACAGGCTTTACAAAAAAGAGAAAGAAGTGATTAGTAATGAAACTGACCCTTGTGTGCAGCTCCTTAAAAATACTTGGGCACCACACCTTGCCGCTCATTCTACCTTTCAAAAACCGGGCCAGTGCTCTCTTTATAAAACTAGCTATTCTTCCCACAGGAGAATGCATGCTGACATCTGTCTCTCCTCTCTTAGAAACCTATATAATTTCTTGCCTGATGGCTGCAGGCCTCTTTCATAAAGCATCAGTGCTCTGAATAACTAACGTAGCGTGCAGCCATGCGACTGAACTCTCCCACCCCGGCACAGATGATAAATGAAAGAAAGAACAGACGCCAGGCAGATATGGTGGGGAAATCAGAATGAAAGGGAGACCAAGCGGAGCTTCGTCTGTGAGGGCTCTCAGAGTGGAGCAGTAACCCTGATTCAGCTTGAACCATGGGATTTCAATGACAGAGATTTTATCAATGGCTTTATGAGGCACAGACAGAGCTAAGGGAGGGGGACTGATTATTCCATGAGTAAAAGCTGCTGAAAGGCAGAGCTGTCAAAAAACATGTAGTGATATCATTGCAGCTAAAAAAATAAGGAATGGAGGAAGCAAATAAATACGTTTTGGTAATTGCCCTCATTTCACAAGACCTTAAAAATAAAGCACATGAGCATGGGGATCACATAGCTAGTTTGTAATACCTAGAACCTAACATAGCATACGTAATAGTTGAGAGGGATTGGGGTGAAGGAATTTGTAGAATGAGTTTGTACTTCAGGATTGGGAAAAAGATTCTTCCATTGCTCAGACAAAGAAAATAAAAACTATTGATCTAGGATCTTAATTTCCACCACCACAGATAGGAACTCAACATGTAATATTCCAAACCTGAATTTCATCCTCTAGATGATGTGTCAAAATGCAGAGCTGAGATATAAAGAGGAAACTAAGCCTGATTTCTGATCAAATAAAGCAGATGTTTCAGCTTATTACTAAGGAAAAAGAACTTGAAGGAACTGACCACTTATATTTCTACTGTAAAAGAACACTAATAGGCCATTATGAAAAAGTGAAAGCAATTGTGATAACTTCCCATTCTGAAGATATTTTTTTTTTTGTCATGTTTAACAGAGTTACACTTTATCAGCCCAAGTCCACTTCTAAGAAATGGTGGTTTAAATTTATTTCAAGCTCGGCGGTACAAAGGTCTGGGGATGTGAGGTAGAGAACCTTAGGCAATAGGTTGTCTTCTGTTCTTTTGAAATAAGCAGCCATTATTACATATATTTCTTATTTAATGACTATATCCTATAGTATAAAAAATTTACACACATTTTGACACACAGAAGCATTGGAGGCAAAAAGCAAAAATGCAGCAACACATTTTGCCTCAGATATCATCTAATGACCAGGTATGCAGACAGTTTTAAACCACTCTCCACCTTTCTGCCCACAACAACGTTGCACTAGGCAACCTTGGGCCATCCTCATTACACACGGGCATGGGTCTGCCCACTGCAAGCAGCGCGCTATGCACAGAACAGTCTGCCTGCAGCCCTCTTTCTGTCAGTATGTAGTGGGATCAAGCCTGAAGGTCCCCTTCTGCTCAGAGCTACAGCCTGGGGGCACCCATTCAGTAATGTTTGCTACCCTGATTTTGCTTTCTGCCAGGGGAAGAAGCTCTTGGCAGGCTATTGTGGATATAGGGGCTCCTTGACAAACTTAGTATTGAGATTCCTTTGGCCAGATGGCTTGACAATGGTTCCTGAGCAGTATTTTCTAACTATCCAAACTCCTTGGTTTGATTCCTTAACTTTGATCCATGGTCATGAAATGCCTGGTATGATCCAGATTTCCTCAAAGATAAATCAGTGGACCATGGGCCAGACCAGGGAGTGTGCCAACTGCTGTGCCTAGCAGTCTAGGTGGGAAGTTTGTGGCAGTGTCACTGAAGGCTGGGACAGAAAAGCCGGATGATGCGGGCCTTTCAGGCTCTCCCTGCTCTGCACACGAGGTGTTGCTTTGATAAGCACATCTAAATGCAAAAATATGGTGGAATTGAGTTTTCACAAAGCACCAGATCAGCATCTGGCCCCCTCAACATTTCCATTTTTAATAGGAATAGCATTTGCTGGGACAGAGGCAGACGAATTGTTAACAGGCAGCTGTCCGTAGATCACAATGTTTCTGGGAGTTTGTCCAGCTTCTTAAAACGTATCGTGCTTCTCAATACAAGAGCCAAGGCCATGTATGTTCTTTGCTGCCTACCTGGAAAGGCTTTTACTCACCCATTGCTCTGAGACACAGCTTCTCCAGCAGGCCGTGCGACATTTGCCATATGGAATGCGTAGAATGCCGCAGGTGACTTGTGCGTGACACACACCCGCACACCCGACACACACCCGCACACACACACCCGACACACACACGCACACCCGCACACCTGCACACACACACCCGCACACCCGCACCCGCCGCTGCTTGGTGTCTCGCTGAAGGCGGTTGTGAGCGATTGCGGGCGCGGGGAGGCTGCCACCTAGAGGTGACAGCTGGAGGTGACACCTACAGCCGGTGACCGGCACTAGATTGTGTGTCCGTGTCTCCCCGGGGCTGCCGTCGGGGTGGCCACCATCTTCTCCGCTTTGGCTGTAGAAGGGGTGGTCGCGTAGTCAGGGTGGTAGCCCAGCGGCCTCAGGAGGCGAGTTATTGCCCTGGACGCTGATGAGGGATGTCTGTCCGCTTGCAGCGTGCGGCTGGGGAAGGGAAGGAGGGGTGGTGGCCAAGAGAGGAGGATGGACCGGCAGGTGTGGGGGTAAAAGGGTTGTTAGAACAGAGAGGCACTGACCCCTTGCTATGACAATTGATGACAGATGCTGGGGCAGGGAAGTGAAGGGCTGTCTTCAGAGCCTCCTGGCATCCTCTGGATTGCTCAGTCCAGAATGCTTCCAAGTTGCTTTCTTCTGGTGTTTTTACAATTGCTGCTCCTTTGCAGCAGAGATATTCTCCATCAGCAACCCACGCAGAGCTGTTACTGACCGGCGGAGCGGGAGACCTAACCTTGTTCTCCTGTGGGTGCCTTCGGTGATGAACTGTCACAATATCATAGCGCTAACACCTGAATTTAGGATGTAAATGATCTTTTTCTCTTCCCTAAGCATAGCCATGAATATTGCATCAGGGTTTCTTTTCCTAGTTAGGCTTTTATAGTTTCATATGAATAACATATACTTTTTCCTTCAGCAGAGTAAAGCTTCATTTTATTGGCTGGTTGGCACAAAATTCATCTTGATATGAACGATCCCAGCCAAAATCAGAATCTAGTGAAGTGGGATGTGATATTTTGAATTTCATTTTGACGCGTGAAGCATTGAAAGCTCTTAGAACAAGGCGTGAGTTGTTAAATATGAGCATGGTGAGGATATAAGTATAAATAAGTTACCACACTAGCAAAGTATTCACTTGTTTTACAACTGGATTTGTTTTTTCCCCAGCCGCTGCTGCTGTGAGTCTTTGTTTTGGTATTATTTGTGACTAGGAAAATTGTATTTCAAGCAACTAGTGCACAATATATTGTTTTGTTCCAACTAGTTACTATCTAACATAATAGCACATGATAGCATAGCATGCAGAAGTACATGGAAGAAAAGAAAATGTGGAAAGCTGTTCTACTCTGTGTGTTAAAAAAAACAAACAGTGCTTTGGAAAGTCTTCTCAAGCATTTGTATTCTATCCCAGCCACAAAGACTTAAAACTGTGGCTATTACATCTAAATAATCAGTGGGAAAAATCACAACACTATGTTTTCTCAATCTGTTACATATTCATTATTATTCTTTCTAAAAGGGAGATACTAGGGGCATGCAGGACTCTTGTTCAGACCAAGTAACATTTTACATGTGCTTGGTGCTAATTTTTTTTTCTCTGCGAATAAATACAAGAGAGTGGAGAATATAATAGGAAAAAAGTTTGGCAAATAGAGCGAAAACCTGGCAAAAAAGGTAAAGTTTGAATCAGGAATGTATTAGCAAGAGGTACTCACACTTCTAGTCACACAAGTAATGAGAGCAGTTATTGTTCTCTGTCTGCCTTTGGCATCCTTCCTCAGAAGCATCTTGTATTTGACACCGTTAACAGAGAAAATCATGTATAGCTTGGGCTTCACCTTGGGAGGTGGAAGAAAATTCCTATGTTAATATTGATAACTGTTCTCTTTTATTAGTTATTCTGCCTAGACTCACAAATTAAAATATTGTTACGGCCATCTTAATGATTTCTGTGCCCTGTCAATTGCCATCTGGTTGACAAATACTGTGGATGACAAACACTAACTGTAATAACTTTTTTCCTGGTGTTAGAAAAACAGTATCTGTTAGAATGAATCATTATATTGATAATACTGTATACCAAATAAATGCTCTCATTCAACCTCATAAGAGATGTTAGAAACATGGTAAGAAACCTGATGTGC